CCTGCGTGGCTCAGTGATTGGTTGAGCGTTAACCTATGAACCCGGAGGTCACAGTTCGATTCCTGGTCAGGGAACATGCCCAGGTTTCAGGCTCTGCCCCTACTGGGGGTTGGGAGGGGAAATGCAGAAGGCAGCTAGCCAATTAGTGATTCTCTCTTATCATTGATCTCTCTCTCTCTCTCTCTCTCTTCCTTTCTCTCTGATATCAATAAAACTTTATTTAAAAACAAAAGAGACAAGGTCCAGGGTGGGAGTAAAACTGCAGGACCCGTGGTAATGAAAGATTTCCGTGAATCTCAGAGACCAGCCCACAAAGGGGCGGGGAGAGGGAACCAGGACGACCAGCAGCGCGGGGGGGGGGGGGGGGGGGGGGGGATGGAGGGTCCGCTCCCACATCAATAATGGATTCACCGGGAAAAACAAGTCCCTATTTTTAGAAAGAAGGGTAGCTTGAAATTTCCTCAATTTTTCTCAGCTGTTGGCCTTGTCAGGAAGACCGAAGGGGAGGGAGTCAGGGAAAAGGCCTTGGGAGCCTTACTGGACATGAGAAGCAAAGGTCAGGAGAGGTCTCTGTCAGCGCTCGATCTCCCCAAGGCTGCTGAGGGTTTTGATGTTCGCCCAGCACACGGCTGGCATGTGGTCACATCGGAAAAACAATTCAGGTAAGTGGCTCCTGAGAGACTTTTTTTTTTTTTTTTTAAAGGGGAAGTCACAGTCAAAGCTTGGTTGAGATGTTACAGAGGTTGGCGTCTACATGTTTGGCTCCTTCAGGTAGGCACACGGAGTGGAATGTAAGACAAGCACCTATATGCACAGGAGGCTAGTTTTTATTTAAATCTATATGCTTTTATTTTAATAGAGAGTTTCTCCGATAGGGAAACTTCCTAGAGAAGACATTGATTGTAGGACGGCTTTGGCCTTTTTTTTTTTTTTTTAATATATTTTTTAAATTAATTTTTTACAGAGAGGAAGGGAGAGGGATAGAGAGTTAGAAACATCGACGAGAGAGAAACATTGATCAGCTGCCTCCTGCACACCCCCCACTGGGGATGTGCCCGCAACCAAGGTACATGCCCTTGACAGGAATCGAATCTGGTACCCTTGAGTCCGCAGGCGGACGCTCTCTATCTGCTGAGCCGAACCGGTTATTGCCAGCGTTGCTCTTCTTTTCTGGTGCCGTCACATGCCACACACAGTACCCGGAAAGAGCTCCTTGAACTTGAGGCATGTACCTTGGGATTTTTGGACTGATTCCTAGACAGCAAACGCCATCCGCAGTCTGTACCACACCGATGGGAAGAGAGAAATGTGATCCCCATGGACCGCAGCGTGCTTGCTGCTGTGTCCCCGGGTCTCTTTCTCTCCGGAAACCCCGGGGCCTGTGGCTCTGCAGCGCCGATGTCCGTAGGCCGGGCCAGGCCTGGATCCCAGGCGGTCCTCAGCTCCTCCAGCGACAGCACTTCCTGCCCGGGGAAAGCTGCAGAGGTGGTGGAAACAACTCTGGCCTCTGCAGACTGATAGCGAGCCTGAGAATGAGAATCCGGGCTCCCGGCCAGGGACTCAGGAGCCAGCAGCGAATTTAAAAACTATCAGCGAACTGGACACTGGCCTTGGTCGGGAAGGGGGTGGGGGACCTAATACACTGAATAGCTTTGTTTTCCCGGGGAGCTGTGGTCTGTCCAGGTCATTCGGGGACTGGAGGTGGAGGACGCCAGCCCCGCCTTCTGTCCCGGCTCAGCCACCTCAGAGTGGGTGCAGGCAGATGGCCTTTACCATGGGCCGGTTCATCACCGTCTCCGATGAACGTGGCCTTGAGTCGCTACACATGTTACAGAGGAAATCACGGATGTTGAAATCTGTGTGCCACCCGCTCGTTCTGGGACCTCGGGCCAGTCTCTTGGCCTCTCTCTAAGCCTCATTCCCTTGCCTGTGAGATGGTCAGCCTTGGTCGAACTGTGGGCATTCAGTAAGGGTACCAATGCAGACTCATTTCAGTTCATTTGAAACCACCTACAGGGGAATTCAGGGCTACCCATGGCTTTAAAGTTGTTTTTTGTTTTATGTGTTTTGTTTTTTTAAAAATATATTTTATTGATTTTTTACAGAGAGGAAGAGAGAGGAATAGAGTTAGAAACATGGATGAGAGAGAATCATCGATCAGTTGCCTCTTGCACACCCTCTACTGGGGATGTGCCCGCAACCAAGGTACATGTCCTTGTCCTCGACCAGAATCGAACCTGGGACCTTTCAGTCCACAGGCCGGCGCTCTATCCACTGAGCCAAACCGGTTTCATCAAGGAGCTTCCTTTACCAGCTTTTTTGCATGCTCGCTCCCGTGGGAGAAGTACGTAGGGCTGGAGACAATGGAGGGATGCCCACAGCTCAGGCGAGGCCCTTCCCAATGCCTCAACATTCCAGAAGCCCGGATGCTGCTCATTTTCCCCTGCTCCCTGCCACACACACACACACTCACACACACACACACACACACACACACACACACACACACACATACAGCTTTCGCCAAGGCCTTGCCCCTGACCTCCCGTCCCTTCCGCAGCCTTTGCTGTGTTTGTGCATTGGAGGGACTCAGGGCGTTGGGCATGGGCTGGCTGAGTCTGGACTCTGTTCCTTCCCACGACAGTCCACCTTCTTCCTCGGGGAGTGCCCGCCAAAAGGGAGACCAGCTTTCTTCCCTGTGCTTCTGGCGATTCTGAGTCATAACCTTGGGTTTCCGGAAAGAATGGACGCCTTCACCCCATTATGAAAGCTGTGTATTGGTGTGTGTGTGTGTGTGTGTGGGAGGGGCAGAGGGCAAGGGGCAAGGAAGGCTGTGGTGGGGGTTAGGAGGCAGACTTCCCACCCATGTCCAGGGCGGGGAAGACCAGACCAATGAATGGGCGAACCCTCAGAAGTCACCCTTCCTTATTCTAGCGCACACCAAGGCCTTTTGCATCTGGTCCGAGTTCTTGTTCCTTTTTGGCAAAGGCAGCACGTACATGGAAAGGAGAAGTCTTACCAAGATTAACCTAGGGTGCTCAGGGGCCAATGCCCCAGCATCTGGGCGAGGCCAGAATGGTACGAGAAGCAGGATACGGGGTTTGGGTGTATACTTCTACTTCTCATCCGTTTCTTCTCCCTTGGGCTTGGGGGCTGCAAAGGAAGCCATCTGGGGCCCTGGGAGCTCTGCGCTGACAGGAAACGTGTGGAAACTGACACATCCTCCCGGGTGGAGGTGCTAAGAGGGCAGTGAGCAAACCTGTGGGTTGGGGCCATCCGAGGACTCGGTGAGTGGGAAGAAACACAGACCTTTGTGGTGGAGGTTCCCATGATGGTCAGGACTACGGGGGAGTTGGAGAAGGGTCTAAAATGTACAGGGAACTCCAACCTTAGGGACCCTTTGGGGTCTCCAAAGTTCCATTGGACTCCTGCTCTCCGAATCATCCCTCTACAACTTGCCTCTATGCACCCACCCCTTCTCCTCTTCTGTCACGACAGCAAGCCTCCCACCCAAGCAAGGCCACCCACCCTTGGGGCGTGGTTCGAGTCTTGGGGGGGTTGTGGTTTTTGATGCCATTGATTCTCTGAAGAGGGCCTCTTCCCCGGAACCCCCCAAAGAAGGCCACTTCCCTTTGCAGAATGCTTTGGCCTCTGAGCTGGACATGGCATGAGCCGGGTGCTTGGTGAGTCCTGCTTTTGCACCCCTCCTGGTTGGGAGCTCTGGGCTGCCACCACAACCAGCGCAACGGGCTGCCTTCATTGTCTAGGAAAGTCGAATCAAATGAGGGCAAAGGGCCGTGGCCCCCAGGGCGCTGGGTTCCTTCCGTGGTGTGGCCATGCGGGAACAAAAGGGAGGAACGAATGTGCGGGAGGAACAACCCTAACATTTATTCTCGGGTGCTGAGCAGGAGTGGGGAGGCGCCGATGGGGTTTCTCTCTAGTCCACAGAGTCTCCCTGCAGACAGGGCCACTGCTCCTGGTGTGGATCCAGGGTCCTGGAGTCTCATTGGCCGAGAAAGTCCATCTTGTTATCCTAAAGCCCCGGCCTCTAGTCCCCTCAAGCCCACCTCTCCCGGGAAACACCGTCCCGTGACCAGAGAAGCACTCGCACCCCCTTGTAGGAACTCAGATGAGGCCGGAGAGGAGAGGGGACGATGCAAAGCATGGCGGGTGGGAGGGGTGAGGCTCACAGCCTGGGAGGGAAGGGGCGTGTCAGGTGAGGTGCTCCCCAGGTGAGGTGCTCGCATCCCCCCCAACCCCACCTCCCACGACGCCAGTCTCTGATGGGGCCGGTCCCATCCTCAGAGTTCAGAGGCTTCAGTCCAGGGACAGAACTGCAAGAGCATGGACACGAGAAACACGGAACAAATTGGGGGTGGGGGCAGGCTGCCAGCCAGTGTGTGAGAGCGGGTCCTGTGGCCAGGCCATGCCTGGCTCTGGGCAGCAGAGGGCGCTGGGGCGCTGGGGCAGCTCAGAGTCCAGGGCAAGCCTTCCGCCTCCTCTTCTCCCCGGCTTTGGACAGGGGCACAGGCGCAGTGGGGAGAGCTTTTGGGCAGCAAGGGGCAGAGCTCACAGGGAGACTGGAGAGTGATCGGCAGTTTTCATCAAAGCAAAGTTCTAGCTGCCTCTAGTGCCTATGGGAGGAGCGGCAGGGAGGGGCCTCCAGGAAAGGGCTGGGGACCAACCAGCGTCCTGCAGGGAGCACGGGGCTCAGCTGCATCCTCCTGCCTCCCCTGGCACACCCCCCCTCCCCCCCCCCCGTCTCTCGCGCCTCTGCCGAGGCCGCTGGGGACCCAGATTTGTGCTTGATCGGGGCTTCGCAGGAGGGTGGTGAGGTGGCAGAGGCGCTGGAGCTGTCCTGGAGGCTGCCAGTTCGGGGGTCCTCTGCAAAGTCCCTGCGTAATCTGGAGAGCCAGGATGCGCAGTGACCCCACTTCCACCCTTCCTCCCTCCCCCCTCCTCCCTGCCCGTGCTGGCTGGACCTCGCGATCCTCAGATCCTCAGACGTGAGTCTGCATCCGCCGCTGCAGGGGCCGGCTGGGGTCGGAGTTCTGCGAGGAGGACTGGGAGTGGTGGGAGGAGGAGGCCGAGGCCTTGCTGGCCTTGTCGAACTGCACGTAGCCGTCCTGCTTGCCGCTGCTGCTGACGCTGCTGTCGCACTGCGTGTCCAGGAAGGAGCTGCTGTCGCTGAGGGAGCCCCGCTGGAACTCGCGCTCGCAGAGCTCGATGGACGAGCTGCCCATGCCCAGCACGAACCTCTGGCTGTAGTCATAGAGGCGGGCCTGGCCGCTCAGGGTGCTGTAGATGTTGGTGAAGGACATGCCCGTGGGCACGCGCTGCTTGCCCGCGGGGCGCAGGTCCGGCTGGCAGCTGGACAGCGAGATGGTGGGCGTGGAGTGGTGCTCCTTGAAGGTGTTGACGCTGTAGTAGCCGTTGGTGGGATCCTGGGGTGGGGGGCAGAGCAGTGTCAGGGGCGGGCAGGCTGGGCTGAGCTTCCTAGGCTGAGCTGGCCTTCCTTACCCCGGGCCCTGCAGTCTCAACAGCTGAGAAAGCCCGTCTTGTTATCTAAAAGCCCTGGTCTCTAGTCCCCTCAAGCCCACCTCTCCCGGGAAACACCGTCCCGTGACCAGAGAAGCACTCGCACCCCCTTGTAGGAACTCAGATGAGGCAGGAGAGGAGAGGGGACGATGCAAAGCATGGCGGGTGGGAGGGGGTGAGGCTCACAGCCTGGGAGGGAAGGGGCGTGTCAGGTGAGGTGCTCCCCAGGTGAGGTGCTCACATGCCCCCCGTCCCCACCTCCCAGGACACCAGTCTCTGATGGGGCCGGTCCCATCCTCAGAGTTCAGAGGCTTCAGTCCAGGGACAGAACTGCAAGAGCATGGACACGAGAAACACGGAACAAATTGGGGGTGGGGGTAGGCTGCCAGCCAGTGTGTGAGAGCGGGTCCTGTGGCCAGGCCATGCCTGGCTTTGGGCAGCAGAGGGCGCTGGGGCGCTGGGCCAGCTCCGTGTCCCAGGACACATGGGAGGGGGGGACAGCAGGGGAGAAAGGTGGGGAGGGGGTCTGGAAGGGGTACCCCGGAGAAGAAAGGGCTGCCAGGTGTTCGGGTGGCAGCCCAGAGGGAGGGAGGGCGCTGCAGGGTGCGTGCGGGGCACCTTTAGTTATGTCAGCACAATGCAAGGTTCTTTGAGAACCAGACTTTGTGGGCTTTATTTTTGCTTTTTTGTCCAGGACACGGATACTTGGTTTTCAGATGCATCTGTGAAAAGGCCGTGGGAGAGAACGGTGGTGGGACTTCAACCTGAACTTGTTGCCTCCTTAGTGTGGGGCTGAGACAGCAGGTGCTCATGGGCATGGGGGGGGGGTGTCCCCACCTTAGGGAGAGCAGAGGCACCTGTCCCCAAGGTGACTTCTGCCTCGCTTTTCTATTTGCTGCCGTTGTCTGTCTGGACAGGGGCTGGGGCCCTCGGCGCTGAAGGCCGGGCGACACCCAGTCCCTCAGCTCTGGGCCACGCCTACCTTCAGGTTCTGGAACTCCTTCTCCTCCTCTTTGAGGACCTCGAGCTGCTTGAGGACGGAGTCTTGTTGGAACTCTCCCCGGTCCATCTGCAACCCAAAGATGGCTGCTCAGCTGGCAGGAGCGGGGCCAAGCATCCCCTTGCCCCAAGGAAGAGACGAGAGGCCAACTTGTCTCTGCCTCCCACTGCCCGGCCCACAGGAGGCAGGCGGAGGACTCAGGAGTTGGGGGGGGGGGAGTGGAGAGGGTGCGTGAGGGGCAGGTCTCTGAGACTGAGCTTACTTCCCTACAGAGCTCTCACTTGGCTGGTTCAATTCAATTCATTGAGCGTTTACCGAATTTTCAGGACAAGCATTGTGCTAAGGGGCATGTACCCAGAGTTTAAGATACAGGTGTTCTCATCAGGATGATGGATCTGTAGGTAAATAATTACGGAACCTCGCCCAGCCGGTGTAGCTCAGCGTCGATCCATGAAACCAGGAAGTCACCGGTTCCATTCCCAGTCAGGGCACATGCCCGAGTTGTGAGCTGGATTCCCAGTAGGGATGTGCAGGAGGCAACCAATCCGTGATTCTCTCTCATCATTAATGTTTCTCTCTCTCTCTCTATCCCTCTCTCTTCCTCTCTCTCTGAAAAAAGCAATAAAAACAATCATTACAGAACCTCAACCAGTGGGCAGGGGTCGGGGCCCCAGCAGAGCTGTGTATCCTCGGGGCCGGGCTCAGGGAAGGCGTTCAGAAGGAGTGGCAGTCGATCACGGTGACCGTGGGCCACACAGCAATGACTCAGATGTACTGAGTGTTCTTCCCTAACCGACACCAAAATGCTGAAGAGAAGGATCACTTCCCGTTTCTCGTTCGGCCCTCCGCACACCTGGCACAGCGCTTTCGGTATGACGGTCATGGACCTAAGTGCTTTGGAGGCGGAATCCTACTTAATGTTTTTTTTTATTAATTCCTTGGTTTGCCAGTGCCTGATAGAGTAGGGCTGTTGGTGCCGGAGGAGTGAATGCAGTGGCTTCGCTCTGAATCTCCGAGAACTAAAATCATCTTTACACCGAAGGTGAAAAACAAAGCACAGGCAGCACACAGTGGGTGCGTTAATTAACCTGAATAACCTCAGTAGCAGCTGGCATCTCTGGAGAGCTCGCGGTGCTCCGCAGGCTCTGAGAGGTTTGCCTCCGAGCTCTCAGCATGGCCCGTGAACTCTTGACTTTCACGCCCATTTCCCAGATGAGGAGACTGAGGCACGGAGCGGCCCGTGATCGTTCCCCCTGCAGCAGCGTACCACCGCGAGGGTTTCCTGGCCGTGTTTTCAGGTTTGTGTGCACAGCTGGGAGGAGGAGCAGGCGTGGGCTAACTGTAGAAGTTCTGATTTGCTTACGGTATGCAAGTCAGTTTCCGGAAGAGGAACCTATGCCTCTTGCAGAGTTTTTTTTTTTTTTTTTAAGGGGGGAAGGGAGTGGTTATTGGGACATGGAGCATATACTGACTGTCTGTGATATCTGTGGGGGTAGGTGTGTAGAACAGTGTTTCCCAAACTTTTGACATATGTGTATCCCTTCTATAATTTTCATAACGCTGAGTACCCCTCGTACTTATGAGAACGTAGAATTAGGCTGCAGCTAAGCACGGTGCGGTGCATATCCCCACCACACTCCAGTGCAATTCGTACCCCCACCAAACTCTTTCCGTACCCCTGGGGGGACGCATACTGCACTTTGGGAAACACTGGTGTAGAAATATAAGTCATATGGCAACATCCTGTGGCTGTGTAGGCATGGCTTCTCTCCCGACCCAATGGGCAGGTGCTGTGCAAGCCGGGGCTGCCCCTGAGATGTTCCGGAGTCTTTAGAACCCAGAGCAGACACAGGGCCATTCTCTGAGGGCCGAGAACGGGAGGGAAGGGTATGTCGTGACGGATCCGCTGCTTCATGAAGCACCTCCGGGGGCAGGGGGTGGTGGGCTTGCACAGCACCTGCCCATTGGGTCGGTGCTGTACAAAGTTCAGAAGGAGTGGCAGTCGATCACAGAGGGGCACAGAGGTTGGGGTAGGGGCGGGGGCCAGGGGGTAGGACAGCATTCTCACCATCAGCTGCTTGATGGTGGGGTGCTCCTCGCCCTCCCTGCCCGAGGCGGGCTCCTTGTGGACGATCTCCACTCGGATGTCGTTCTTGGCCGACACCACGCCTTTGAGATCTGGACACGGAATAGGGACACGGCGATGACAGGTTCCGTCTGTATCCCCGGGCATCCGGGCCTGAGATGGCCAGCCCCTCCCACACTCCCGTGGCCCCCCAGAGTTCACCCTCCAGCCCCAGATCCCTGCTGCTTCACCACGTCATCCCTGTCAGAATGAGCTGAGGGCTCTGGGCCTAATAAGGTGACCAGACATCCCGCTTTTGGAGGGACAGTTCCGATTTTGAACAATTTGTCCTGCGGCGTTTTAAAAAAGTCCCAATTTTTGGAAAGATTCTTTTAAATCTTTTTATTTTATTTTTTTATTTTATTGATTTTTTTACAGAGAGAGGGATAGCGAGTTAGAAACATCGATGAGAGAGAAACATTGACCAGCTGCCTCCTGCACGCCCCCTACTGGGGATGTGCCCGCAACCAAGGTACATGCCCTTGACAGGAATCGAACCTGGGACCCTTCAGTCCGCAGGCCGAGGCTCTATCCACTGAGCCAAACCGGTTTCGGCTCTTTTGGACTTTTTTTTAAAACGCTGCGGGAAGTGGGACAAATTGTTAAAAATCAGGACTGTCCCGCCAAAAGTGGGACATCTGGTCACCTTAGCCTCAGAGCTCTGCCCCTGTGGGCTCCGGGTTGCATGCACCTCTGCCCGTCACTGCAATTTCTGGGGTTTATGAGGCTGTCCTGCCCCTTTGTCCACCACACAGTGCCAGGTCCTTTCCTGCTACTAAAGTCTCCCCTCTTTTTGGGGGTCTTCTCTGACCCCCATAGCAGGCTCTGAGCTCCCCCGTCAGAGCATCACACGCCTGACTGTTAGAAAGGACCTACTGGTCAACCTCCCGCCCGAAGCAGAGATCTCCCTGCCGTGCGGTGGGCCCGCTCCTGAGTCAGTGCTTTCAGGATGGAGACCGGGCACATTCTAGAGGAGGCAGCCGATTTTCAGTTGGTTGGCACCTTGTTAGAAAATTCTGGCTCAAATCTGCTGCCCTAGAGTTTCCCCGGAGAGAGTGGCGAGGGAGGTCCCGAGACCAAACCGCTGGGGGCGTCCAGGCGGCTGAGCTTGGAGGGGCAGGGACGTGAGGGGGGCACCAGCTCTCTCCCACAGCGAAGGCTGCCTCGGGGTGGAGGGGGCAGGCTTCCTCTGATGATTCACGCCCGCCTTGTGCTCATGGCACCGTGTGAGGGCTGCGTGGGGCCACGCCAGTCATGTCCCCCACCCCCTGACTATTACCCCCCCCCCCCGGGAAACTGAGGCTGGGGTCGTTGTGGCCCCGCCCACGCTCCCAGGTAGAGGGAGCCGGGCCGGAGGACTGTGCCTGCGCTCTCTCCACCTCTGTGCTGCTGTCCCATTGGACACGTCTGCCTGTGTCCGGGATGGGAACTTGCACATGACCTCCAAGGAGATTTGATTGGAAGGCAGGCCCGTAAAAGTCTGCACAGAGGGATTCCTTTATGCTTTTCCTGTGTGGGTGACCAGTAGCTTTTCAGGTTGGACTCGCTGGCCTCGGAGGGTGGGATTGCTAGCGTTCTCTCTAGCTACAATGGGCCATCCCCAGTGCTGGCCGACTGCCCTGTCGGGGGAGGGTTAGTGCAGTGCAGCCCCCTCGGAGGAGTGCCCACTATGTGCCCGATGCCTGCAAAGCACCTCTCCCATGGAGATGCCCACGCCCCATCCCTGCCCGCAGTTCCCAGCACCACCAGGGCGCCTCCTGTTCCCTTGCTCTCGGGGCGACCTACGCATGGCTTTCTTTCTGTTCCCCTCTCCCAGATCCCAGGTCCCCCCCTCAGCCCCCCTCCCCCCCCGTACTTCTCTGGGAGCGGGCACAGCAGAAGGCCACGATGGTTGCCATGAGCACGAGGAAGGCCACGCCGGCTCCCACGGCCACCCCGATGATGACGGCCATCGGCACGGACTCTGTGGGAGAGAAGCAGGCACAGCTGACCAGGGATCCCACAGCCCACGCTCCCTCGGGCCTCACCCAGTTCCCTTGGGTGGGTGCAGCCTCTGCCAAGCGGGGCTGGAGTGCCCTGCACAGGGCCCTTCTGGGAAGTGCCTGTAGGGGCTTTGGACAGGCTCAGGTAGAGTCCACCGGGGCAGCTCAGGTGGGACATGGGGAGGGGGAGAGAGCAGGAGGGAGACAGGGGAGCCGTGGTGGTGGGAGAGGGAGGCAAGCAGACATAGGAGGGGTGCCGGGGAGGGGACAGGAAGGGGACAGGGGGAGGTGAGAGGCAAGGCTGGCATGGTTAGGTCTCCAGGGGTGAAGCCCTGGCTTGTCTTTGGAAAATGACTGTGGTCACTGCCCTTGTCCATTCGGTTTGCATTTTCCTTCTCGTCCGTTTCCCAGGTGCAAGAGGCTGGGCTCAGAGATCCAGCCTTTAGAATTAGTGCTCAGGTCCTAGCAGCGCCCCCTAGAGGCCTGCTGGGCATCTGCAGTTGCAGGTGTCAGAGGCCCGTCTTCGGGGCCAGGAGAGCAGGGTCTTGGCCCTCTCCTCTTTAAGGAGAAGGGCCCCTCTTCCTTGCTCCCCGCCCCGCCCCCAAATCCTGCTCCTTCCTCTCCTAGGCCAGTCCTCTGAGCATCCTGGCAAGCTTTCTCAAGGGCCCAGGACTGCAGCGAGGCAACTGGGTCTCTGTTACGAGGCTGTCCCCGCTGAGTCTCTGTGGCCTGTGCCTGCCCCAGCCCTGCAGAGATGAGGGTAAGGGAGGGTGGTGTTGGGGCAGGGGTTTTCGGGGTGCTCTTCCAGATAACCTCGGCCTTTCTGTGGCTGTATAGGGGGCCCAAGCACACGATTTGGAGCCGGGAATAGTCCATGGGGAATAGAACTAGAGACTGCAGGGGCCCCAAGATCCGAGGGCCCACGGAGTCCACCTCTCTCACTTACAGATGCCCAGAGAAGTCAAGTGAAAGACAGTTGGTCAAGGGCACTCAGCATCCGTGGGGCCGGGGCAAAGCTGGGTCTCCTCTTGTCCCCTCCCCCCCACCCAACCCCCCCACTCCGCCCCACTCTGATCCTGCCCAGCTCTGTCCACTGTTATCTCACAGCCGCCGCCAAATCTCCCGTGCTCTGCACAGCCCAGACGCCATTACTTCTGAGCGACTTGCTTAACCTCTCATCTGTGAGGTGGGATGGTGACCCCGCCCATGCAGGGCTGTGCTATGGGGTTCAGGGGAGGGAATGCAGCTACAGGCCTGGCCTCCAGCCCTATTCAGCCCTCTGGCCCGTTTCCCTACGGGAAGGAGGACTGTCCCAGATCCAGATCGCAAAGGGAGGACGTTTCCTCGTAGCGTGAGTGCTGCGTCCTTTTGGTCTACGCCATGTTCTCAGCGTGGATGATCGGGACAGCTAGCTGTTTGTCTCGGGCTGTGGGTTAGCCCCTCGTTGTTAGTTTATTTAAAGAGAACAAGAGCCTGGCTGGCGTGGCTCGTAGTTGAGTGTTGACCTAGGAACCAGGAGGTCAGGGTTCGATTCCCGGTGAGGGCGCATGCCCAGGGTTGAGAACTCCATCTCCAGTGGGTGGGGGCGTGCTGAGGCATATAGCCGACCAATGGTTCTCTCTCATCAGTGATGTTTCTATCTCTCTCTCCCCCCTCTCCCTTCCTCTCTGAAATCAATAAAAATGTATTGATATTTAAAAAAAGAAGAAGAAAACTGCAACTCTGGCCCTTGGAGATGCTGCTTCGGGGAGGCGGCTGTTCCCTGCCTCCTGGCTGGAGAAGGGGCTGGAGAAGGTGCTGTTGGTTGGAGGTGGTGGTGGTGGTTATGCCAGTGCATCCTTCCAGCTCAGGACTCACCACACCGGCTTCTTGTGACCGGCCTGCTGGTGGCCGGGCCACTGTGGGAGGGGCAGGGAGGGCGGGTGGAGGAGGGTGGGGCAAACACTCAGGATGGACAGTGCAGGTGCTTGGGGGAGGTTTCCACGGTCAGGAGCGAAGGACTTGACCTCGGTGACCTTGCTCTGACAAACACAGGATTTCCGTCTCCGGTTTCCACTCCATCAGGAGAGGGAAAGGGCTTTGGGAGCCCGTTGGCTCTGTGCTTCTGCATTTGATTGATTTGGGCTTTGATCTGGGTCCTCCTAGGACACCTAGCCAGTTTCCTTGGAATGCCTTGGTCTTGTCTCAGCAGAGCTCAGAGCCCAGCTGTGAAACCAGAGAACCAGGGGAGCCCATTCTGCCTCTGGCATCCTGTGAGCCACCTGTCCCCCAGCTGTTTGCAGCTGGAAGGCACCATCTTATCTGGAGCAGGAGGGCAGGGGCAGAGGAGGGCCTGATGGAGGCCAGCATGGGGGCTGGAGGGTGGGGTAGGTGGCATTCCTCTGTCTGGCCTCCTGCAGTCTGGCCTCTGCCCACTGAGCTGATTGTCCTTTCCTGGACACAGCACCCCTCCGATGTTCCCCTGGAGAGAGAGGGACTGGAGGAAGGAGCTGCCCTTCCATTCAGCCTCCTCTTCACCTGAGAAGGCAGAGTCCTAGCCGGGAGGGGGCAGGGACCTGTGGGTGAGGTTAGGCAGATACATATGGGATAGAAACGGCAGGGGACACCATGTCCAGCACCAGGAGGAGCTCAGAGGGGTCTGGGGGGGACAGCAGGAGGCTGACGACTTAGTCCTGAGCTGGCCTGTGCCCCACTGATGCGGGCTGAAGGAACTGGGCCAGTGTGGTGGGGGATCAGGTTTGCAATGCCCTAATCCTCTTTGCTGGATTTCTGCTTGGGGCGGGGGGCGGGGGCATATCCTGTGGGGCCCAAGACAGAGCAGCTCAACCCAGGGACCCTGACAGCCACTCTGGGGCCAGGTGCCTGGGTGGAGGGAGGTGTCTTGTGGTGGGACAGTGCCCGGGGGATGGCAGGTGTGGGAGCAGGCAGCCAGGAGCAAGCATGGATTAGCATGGATGGCGCAGGCCACAGCAGGCTGGAGGCCCCGGGCCCCCGCAGGCCCCTGCTGAGCTGGTGATGATGTGAGAAGCTGGAAGGGCAGGAAGAGATGGAGAGAGAGGGAGGCTGCCCCACAGGGCAGGAGCCAGGGCTTTGGAAGGGAAGGGACAGGAGGAACAGAGCCGAGGGCACAGGTGCCTGGGCCCTGCAGCAAGCAGACTGTGGCTCTGGGGGCCGTGGACTAGGAGGCTGGCGTCTGGGGTTCCTTGACCCGTGTGGCTGGGAACCCCTCTCCCTGCTGCTCCCATTGCATTGACCCCTCGAGACAGGGGAGGGCGGAGTTAGCCGCCTGCACAGGCCTCCCTGCGCCCTTTGGGGCCCCTCCCCCGCTAGCCCTGAGGACCCTTTCCCCCGACCCAGGGGGCTCTCGTGTCTCCTTCCGTACCTGCTTCCAGCCCGGCTCCCGACTTCATTTCCGAACCTGTTTGGAAATAAAGCAAGCGTCCACAGCCAGGGCCTGGCTGGGCAGGTGGGGTGCGACTGGGGTGAGGGGGCTCCCTCCTCAGTCATGCCCTCGGGACTCCCCGGTAGACCCAGGCCATCCCAGCTGAACTCAGAGAGACTTAGAGACTCGAGGGGAAGGGGCCAGAGAGAGAAGTCAAGGCTGAGTGGGGTGGGGGGAGTGGGGGGTCTGAGAAGAGGGTGAGGGGGAGCATGGGGGGTGGGGGCACCGAGGCGGAGGCATGGAGGGGAAGCAGCAGGCACCGGAGGTTCGGCATGACGTGTGGATGATGTTATGCAAAGTATGTGCAAAGCATGATGCGAAGCAGCACCGGTGAGGGGAGAGGTGTGGGGAGATGCTGTGACCCACAGGGTCCTGGGGCCCCAGGGCCCACCTGCTTGGCCCAGAGCCTTTGCCAGGGCCTGACAGCCTTTGGGGGCGGGGGACTTCATCTTGGAGGGGTCAGAGAGAGCCAGGGCTGAGGCCCCCTGGATGGCCCTGACAGAGGGGCAAGGTCTGAAGCCCATTCAGGACCCCGTGTGCAGCGGCTGCGCTGAGCGCCTCCGGACCCCCCTCTGTGCACCCTCCCCCCCCCACATGAGACCTTGGAGCAGAGAATGGAGTTCATGACCAGGGGCTGGGCAGTCTGCACTCAGGGTCACAGTGAACTTACCCCCTCCCTCCTTCTCCTCTTCCTCCTTCTCTTCCTCTTCCTCTTCCTTCTCCTCCTCCTCCTCACCTCCCCTGCCCCCCTCCCTCTGAGCCCTTCTGCCCAGAACAGCCCCCTGGCTGCCTCCTGCTTAGCCCCTTGGTCCAGGCATCTCCCATGCCCCAGGGGAACTGCAGAGGGTCTGGGCTCTCCCACCCAATGGTTAGGGAAGCTCCGTCGCCTCCCTTTTGCTCAGCTTGGGTGCCTCTGGGGGACTTTGGGGTGTCTGGCCTGGCTTGTCGTGCTCCCTGGCTAGGCCAGGTTCCTCAACCACACATCCCCACTCGGGTCTCCCCGTGTCCCGCCCAGGGATGCAGGCTGCCCCCTCAGTGGATCACACAGGATGTCAGAGCAGGTAAATGCTGAGCGCTGGCCGGTGGGGCCTTTAGAAGGTGCTGGCGGCTCAGCATGGCCATGAATGTGGCTGGTTCTGGGGTCCCTTTCCCTGAAACCTCATCCTGACAGGCCACCTCCCTGGGCAGCTTCCTACCCCTCAGGTGTCCTACCCATCCCAAGGCTGCGGGGCGGGTGAGAGGAACACTGTGTCCTGTCCTGTGTCCTACCCGCTGGCCCGTAGCCTCTGTAGGCCTTCTGTGCCCCCAGGGCCTGGGAGGCCTGGCCCGGCCCTGCCCGGGGCGGGCGGGTCCCTGGCCCACCTTGCTCCTTGAGCCGGATGATCTCGGTGTCGGAGCCGAAGCTGTTCCAGGCGGTGCAGTTGTAGATGGTCTGGAAGTCAGCCCGCACAATGTTGCTGATGGTCAGCGTGGAGATGACGCCCTCCTCTGTGCTGACCGTCTCCACCGTGTAGCGCCCCGACGTCCCCGACTCCAGCACGTTCTCCTTCCACGACCAGGCCTGCCCGGGGCGCCAGAGTCAGGAGGGGGCCCCGCCTGGGCCTCCCGTGTGGGGACCTCGAGCTGCAGGGCTGGCCTTGCCAGGCTCACGGGCATGCCCGCTGTCACCAGCCCTGGCACACATACACACGTGTGCACGCACAGCCAACACACCGCAGAGGTGCATGCACCAGGCACACACAACATATGCCACAGTATATGCGCACGGTGCCCCACCCTATCCCACACAGGGTCAACGGGTGCAGGCGCACACACACACACACACACGCACACACACACGTACATGCACACATGTACATGCACACATAGAGCTGGGCCACCTCAGCATCGGCCCTGGACCCCTCTCCAGGCCAGTGAGAGAGTATAGGCAGTGACAGGAACCCCCTGGACTGGCCTGTGCCAGTTCTCCCTGATGCTCCCACTAGCCTGGCACTGCCCCCTGGCGGCCGGAGGCAGAGGCCCAGCCCAGAGAGGTTGACTCTAGTTTTGTTACTTTATTTTTTTTTAACCCTCACCCAAGGATATTTTTCCCCCCATTGATTTCTTTTTAGAGAACGTAGATGAGGAGGGAGTGTGAGGGAGGGGGAAATATTGACGTGAGAGAGACTCATCGATTGGTCGCTCGGGCGCGTATGGGATTCAGCCTGCAACCAAGGTACGTGCCCTGGACTGGGAATCGGATACAGGGCCCTTTGATTGGGTGGGTGGGGGGGAGAGGGGGCGCGCTCACCGCTGAGAGGAACTGGCCAGGGCTGGTTTAGTTACCTTCGTGTCAGGTCTGGACACAATTATGTCCTGAGAGTTGTGACCACCTGAATCTAGCCAGGTTTCTAGGGGTGATGGCAGAATTTCCCCTGAGCTGTTTCACGCCCTGTTTGCTCAGGTTCCTGAGAATGTGGTCCTGCAGGTAGGACCGTGCTCCGAGGGGGGCCCGGGAGTGGAGCAGCTGCTCAGGCCCCGCACTTGACTTTCTCGGTCATGGGCTGTCCTGACTTGTGGGATGTGCAGCAGCTTCCTGCCTTCTGTCAGAGCCAGCAGCACTCTCCAGTGTGACACCCACAGTGTTCAGGAGACAACATGCATCCCCTGGGGCCAAAATCTCCCCCTGAGAACCAACCTCTGGCTGGAGTTAGACTCTATGCAGAAGAAGACTGAGTATGTGCAAGAGTGAAGGGGATTGGCGACAATGGGTGTGTGTTGTGCTTCTAATTAAAAAAAAAAAAGGGGGCCCTAATTGGTTTGGCTCAGTGGATAGAGCATCGGCCTGTGGACTCTAGGGTCCCGGGTTCGATTCCGGTCGAGGGCATGTACCTTGGTTGCGGGCACATGCCCAGTGGGGAGTGTGCAGGAGGCAGCTGATGGATGTTTCTAACTTTCTATCCTTCTCTCTTCCTCTCTAAAGAATTAATAAAAAATATTTTTAAAATATTAAAATTAAAAATAAATATATATATATATATTTTAAAAAGGGTGCTGGGAACAGGGAGGCGTAGGTATTCGTTCTACGTGTGAATTCTTGCAATCTTTGTGTGAGTCTTTCAGTGAGTTAACGGAATGCCCGAGAGAGTGTGTAAGAACAATACCGCCCTAGAAATACCTCCTGTACAGGATGGCACCCCGAGTGGGTGCCGCCTCAGCTCCCCAGCCCGGCACGGGCCCCCAACCTCCCTGGCACTACTGGACCACGAGAAGCAGAACTGCCCCTAGGAGTTGGCCCGGAGGACCCTCCTCAACCTTGGGCTTCCTAGCCACAGTCCCTGCTTTGCCTCCCCCAGTGTTGCTCAGTGTTCACCCTCCTGGGAATGTGCCTGGGCTTCCACCGCTTCAGGCGGGCAGGGGCACAAGGCTCCCTGTCACCACGGCCAGTGCCCGGAGGGATAGGTGTGGATGGGGCTGCCTCCGCTGCACGGCGTGGAGATACGGCTCTGAGAAAGGGGGTGATGGGGGAACAAGGATGTTTTCAGAGAGGAAACTTGGTGAATGAGGCAGCTTCCATTCTCCATGACGGAGGCCGAGAGGGGGACTCTGGGGGCTTGGAGAGGGGTTTGACACTATACACTGCACTCTGCGTAGGACTTGGCCAAGACCTTAAACCCAGGAGGGTGTAGAAATCATGTATCTTTCTTTTCTTCCTGCTCCCCCACTTATTTCCCTGTTCCCCCACTTGCTCTCTGTTCTCCCACTTGCTCTCTGCTCCCCCCACTCGCTCTTTGCTACCCCCACTGGCTCCCCTGCCCCCAGGATGCAGAATTCTGTTAGAACTACCCATGCCAGTGCCCAGCTCCAGGGCAGGGAGGTGTGAAACACACTTGCTCACGGAACCTGGCAGGACAGCCTGTTCTGATGTTTATCCTCCTGACGTCTCTCCCGGAGAGCATGGGGGAGTGATTTCCCGGCGGGCTGGGCGGGCAGGCCGAGGAGAGGGCACCCAGGTGTGGCTGACTCCCGGGCGGGCGGGCGCCCACAGCTGTGGGCTGTTGTGATCCCCTCCCCACCCTGAGCACTCACGATGCGATCCGGCGGTGGCGTGCTCCGGATGAAGCACTTGATCTGGCCCTTCTCCCCGTGGAGGGCGTGCTGGGTCTGGGTGCTGGAGATGATGGGGGGGCCTGTGAGGGAAACAGATGGCGTCAGGGGTTCGGGAAGGGCAGGTCCTGAAGGCTTGTGCAAACCAGGTGAAGTGCAAGCATCCGTCACGGAACCTCTTAAGGGGTCATGAGCGGATGCTTCTGAGTCAGAAGGCCCAGAAGACATTGCAGGGGTTCAGAGTGAATCACCCCCTACATGTGCTCCAGTGGAGTGTGGGCTCCAGAGGAACTTCCTTCTCCCCTGAACGACCGGTAAGAATTTACATGCGGGGCCTTCCCTACAATGAGATGTCGTCGGAGATGGCATTTCTGACCTACACTGAGTGGCCAGGTTATGATGATCTCTGAACACATAATAATCTGGCCACTCTGTGTGTGTGTGTGTGTGTGTGTGTGTGTGTGTGTGTGTGTGTGTGTGTGTTAGAGGCCCGGTGCATGAATTCATGCATGAGTAGGGTCCGGCCAGCTTGACCAGGAGGAGGGGACATGGGCCATGGGCGGTTGGCCAGCCTGCCTGCTGGTCGAACTCCTGGTCAAGGGGACAATTTGCAAGTTAGCCTTTTAGGATATACACTGAGTGGCCAGATTATTATGCGTTCAGAGATCATCATCATCCAGCCACTCAGGGTACGTGCACAGCAGGGCAGACTGAGGATCTGCTGCTCTTACTGTCCTGCCCTGACCTCCCCCTGCAGCCTCAAGGTGGCCCGCCCTACCTTCTCCTTAGCTCGGGGTGCCATGTTCACCTCCTTTTAACCCTCTGTCCCTCTCTCACGCATGTGGTGTTCCCTTATGTATGTATGCAATTAAATGAGGTTCTTATCTCTTGTTAATCTGTCACAAATGGATTCGAGTACTCCACCAGCTAAAACAACCAGATGGGAGACCGGGGGGGGGGCGGGGGGAGGACACACTCCTTTGCTCCACAACAGAAATGACTGTGGGAAGAGGTGGGAGTGTTGGGACCCCAGGAGCGAACGGATGAAGTGCCAGCCGGCTCAGAGGAGAGAGGGTAGTTCTAGCTGGCGGACAGGGAACGGGAACGCTTTGTGCAGGAGGTGGTCAGCCTGAGAAGGGAGTGGGGGGGCTGCCAGGAGGAAGGGTATAGCAGTGCTAACGGGAGTGGGCACCTCCGCTTTCACCCTCTGTTCCAGTGCAAGCCGTTTCCTCAGATCTCCAGTAGGGGGCGCGCTTGCCTAACAAACCGGGTATCCTTGGCCGGGCCCAGCTTCCAGGGAGGCCGAGGGAGAAATTTTGTGTGATGTTGAAGGGTTCTGAAGGAATCTCCCTGCAGAGGCACAATGCCTTCCTCTCACACAGGTCTCAGGAGATCCCTGTGAGACCCTGGCTCCAAAGCTGATCCCTACACCTTCTCACCCAGCTTGTGCGTGTGTGTGTCCACGTGTGTGCATGCATGTGTGCTTGTACACGTGTGACAAGGCATGGTCTTGGAGTCCCTGTCTCCTTGGCTGCATCCGACAGCCTAGCGAGTCTACCTGAAGTCCAGCAGTGCTTCTGGTTCCGTCTGCCTCTTTTTTAAAAAATATATTTTATTGATTTTTTACAGAGAGGAAGGGAGAGAGAGAGTTAGAAACATCGATGAGAGAGAGTCATCGATCAGCTGCCTCTTGCACACCCCCTACTGGGTATATGCCCGCAACCAAGGTACATGCCCCTGACCGGAATCGAACCCGGGACCCTTCAGTCCCCAAGCCGACGCTCTATCCATTGAGCCAAACCGGTTTCGGCTTGTCTGCCTCTTATCTACCCCCAGTCTCCTGGCAGATGCCCGCTGAGCCTGGCCAACAGGGGAGCGGCTACCTAGCCGGTCATGTATGCAGCCAACTCCCTGGCTGGGTGGGCAGCTGAAGCCAGGGGTAAGAGGGTGGCGGCCCCTGTGCCCTCTTCCCAATCCTTTGGGTAGGAAGCGAGGGAGGCAGGCGGAGAAAGGGACCTCCGCACAGGGAATGCGATGCCGGGAACACAACAAAACCCCGCTGCCAACGTAATTGCTGTTTATTAGTCACCTTAATTAAACCGGATTTGCATTTCTATGAGTAGCTCTCAGCCGAGGCGGGGGGGGGGGGGGGGGGGGGAGGGCGGGGGAAAGCGACCGGGAGACACTCAGGTAGACTTTCTGCGCTCAGGATGCAAATGGCTTGGAGCTGGGGAAGGCAGATGTGGGGGGACCCTCCAGATGAGGGGTTCCACACTCAGCTGGCTGGGCAACTGGGCTGAGCCCTCGGCACCTGCCGCGAGGAGGCAGGAGGGTCGGGCGGTCCGGGGACAACCCCGGGCTTTGTGCCCCGGCTGGGATGGGAGTGATGAAACCAGAACACCGATCCCCCCCCCCCCTCCCCCAGGAACTAAGCATCCCCGTGGGGTGCGGGGGGGAGGGAGGGCGAGGGGAGGGATGAGGGACGCCTATCTGGCAAACGCGTCTGTTAAAGGGCTTCATAAAAGAAACCGGAGCTCAGAATCAAGGTGGATGGGGTTGAGGAAGTCACCGTGCAGCTGTCCCACGGCTCGCCTCCTCTCCCTGAGATCCCGGAGCGAGCAAAGCAGCTGGCACCTGTGCCCGCCGACCCACAGAGGGCAAAGGCTGGAGGTGCCACCGGCTGGGATTTATTCTGAAGAAAACCCCATCCTCCTGCCCAGTTCAGGCCCCTTTGCCGGGGGCTGCACTGCCCCACCCCCCTGGTCTGCAGGAGCCCCTGCCTCAGTGGCTGGCAGGCTCCTCTCCCCGACCACTTCCTCCACCCCCTCCTCCTGGCGAGTTGCCCCTCGTTCAGCAGCAGCAAACAGCTCGGTTGCTGCACTCCCATCCCTCCCCTGGGGCATTCTCTTCCTGGCCACCCAGGGGGGCTCCTGCAGGACTGGAGGCAGGAATGGGGGCGGGGGGCGAGGGGGGAAGAAGAAAGCCAGACCCTGGAGGGAGCAGATGGACTCCTGGGCAGACGCCCAGGCCCAGGCTGGGGTGTCCCATCCCAAGATATGCGTTACCTCCCCAGAAAACCACTTCACATCTCTTCTGGGAATCCCCGAATGTCTAAAGGGACCCTGCGTTGTCAGTCCCTCCTTGAGTCACCCCGGTTCCCCCAGAAACAAAGAGGCTCCTGTCAAAGCTTCAGGCTTGGGGGACCCCCTGGAGGTCTCTCTGAGTCAGAGGATCGAGTCATGGGCCAGCACTGCCCAGCTCCCTCCCAGGGCTGGCATTGGGGGTTGGACCAAGGCCTGGCACCGCCTGAGCTGAGTGTCAGACCCAGAGCTGCTGGCAGGAAAAGGCTGCCGCCTGTTGCCATGGATACACGGAGGCGCCACCAGATGCTGTTATTTTTAGCCCTGCGGTGCCTGTTTGCTGGTGGCGTCCTAGGGGCACCCAGGGAAGGCAGGGAGGGCTCCGAGGCAGGGCTCTGGCCGGCACAGGTGGCCCAGGAGCACGCAGGGGTCTGGGTGGGTAACCCCGTTCTGGGGGGGGGGTGCTGCCATAGCCCGTGGGGTCATGGAGAGAAAAGGAAACAGATGGAGGGGGCGGTTAATGGGGACATTAGGGGGGAGGGTGGCTAAGGGGGCACTGAGCTGGTTAGTTTTCTAGCAAAGCAGACGCATCCATGCAGCTTCCTGAGTGGAGATGAAGCCACCTGGGACTCGGCTCAGCCCTGGCAGACGGGGTTGGCGGGGAGCGGGGAGAGCAGGCTTGCAAAGGGCCCCCGGGGCATGACAGACCCGAAGCAGGACACCAGGAACCCAGGGGTGGGAGGTTTGGAAGAGGCACAGGGACGGGCCTTAGTGTTTCTCACCCTCTAACCCACCTGGGGTTCCTGGATCTTGGCCCGGCTGCCTCACAGCAGGGACCCTGAATCTCTGTCCTGGTGCCACCACCAGGGTGGGCCAGCCAGGCCCAGGCTCAGCCCCGTCCTCTATAGTAAGATGACCAGATCATCCCGCTTTTGGCAGGACAGTCCAGATTTCTAACAGTTTTTCCCGCGTACTGCGGCGTTTGAAAAAAGTCCCGATTTTTGAAAAGATTGGGAAGATTCTTACCAAAAATTGGAACTTTTTAAAAATGCTGCAAATGAAGCGGGAAAAACTGTTAGAAATCTGGACAGTCCCGCCAAAAGCGGGACGATCTGGTCACCTTACCCTACAGGCGCCATGTAGCAGTCACCCGGTGCCTCCCGCTGTGTCCTGGAGAGGTGTGAAAGCCCTCTCCTGCTGCAGTGGTTTTCATATGCACCCAGGCACCTCACAGCCCCTTAGTGGGGACCCCCTCCCTGCCGCCAGCACTTGGTCTCGTCCAGAGTGGCTCCATTGCAATGGGAAGGGTCCAGAGACACACCCTGAATTCCCGCCAGGGCTGATGTCAAGATAAAGGGTGAGTATGGTTTTGGCAGCCCAGTGACCCATGACCCTTCTTTCCTGGCCAGGACAAAGCTCGTCGGCTACCACTTGCAGGGACGAGACCCTCAGGAGAGAAAGGAGAGAGGTGTCTGGGCTCCAGCACAGACTCTGCACCCATAATTGGGGGTGATGGCAAGCCCAGAGTGGATGACAGTCCGTGGGTCACTGCCTGGGACCCAGACACTTTGGGTTCCTCTCCTCTCCCTCCCCTCTCCCCCCCACCCCGGCAGGAGTGTGTGTGTGTGGGTTCTTACCATTGACAGTCAGGGTCACCTCTCGCTCCCCGGCCCCCACCCGGGGCACCACGGCTCGGCACACGTACTTCCCAGCATCCTCCTGGCGGACGGCTTTGAGGGTCAGGGTCTTCTCGTTGCTCAGGACCTAGGAGAATTGGGGAGCATCAGACACAGAGAGTGGGGGTGGGTGCTCTCTGTCTTCCGGAACCAGAGGCCTTAGACAGGCCTGGAGAAAGCCACACGTGCCCGGCATCTCCTTAATAACAGGGCTGGGGGTGGAGCGGGGGGGAAGGGGGAGACCCATGGTTACTGAGCAGCACCTGCAGGTGGTGGTGGGGGGGGGCCCACACCACAGAGGGTGGGAGGCAGCCCTGGAGGTGGGGTGCGGAGTGAGTGAGGAGGAGGGGGACGCCCTCGCTGTGCTCCAAGGGGCTGCCGGAGCAATGACCCTACAGCTGACCTTTGCAGGCCCCTGGACCTGCCTCTGCCAGTCACTTCCAGGATGGCTTTGGGGTGTGGTTTGGGGGGTGGGGTGGGGAGAAAAGAAAGCACAGGCTGGCTCCGAGTCGGAATCCTGGCTTCTGTCTCCCCATCTCCCGCCGGCTCTGGCCAGTCCTCCGGAGACACGCTCCTTTGTACACCGAGGAACACGCCGTCTTAGCAGAGGCCCAGAGAGAGCAATGAACCCAAAAGCTAACGGGTGACAACTCTGTGCCTCTCACTCCCAGGGTGTGGGTGACCCCCAGCTGTTCTTCCCAGGGTCACGGCGGGAAACCCACAGCGGCTGCTCCTGTGAAGGGCTGAGGAGGTCCCTGTGAGTACCTGGGGAGTCTGACACCCCGGTATAAGAGTGACAGGGCCCCGGAAGGCAGAGCCCTCGGGACCGGGGTCCCCCACCCCAGGCAGAGGCCCCTGGGGTCTGAGCCGGGGACTCACCACGCCGGAGCCCCGTTTCATCCAGACGATGGTCAGGGAGGGGTTCCCGGTCCAGGCGCAGCTGAAGACAGCCTCCGAGCCCAGGTCCACAAGCAGCGACTGGGGCTCCGATGTTATCCGGGGCCCGACTGTGGCCGGTAAGGGACAGACAGAGCGCGGTGGGCCGGGGCTCTGGGGACCGCTTTGTGGCTGCCTCCCTTCCCCTATACGGTGCCTGGGGTGCCTCAGTGGGTGCCAGCCCATGCCCTCACACTTCCGTCCACTGCCCTGGGGCCTTGGGTCAGGGATAAGGGAGAGGTGGGCCCGTCTGGACTCGGACAGCACCAGCCAAGGAAAAAGGCTCCCGCCCCTTGTGCCTGGATATGCCTTCAGGGCGCTCCCATCCCCTTCCCCCACTCTGTCCTGGTCCCAGGAAGCCCCCAGCCCAAGGTGCGGGTGGAGGGGCCTTCCTCCTAGGGTCTAAAGACCTTCATGGGCCTGCCCTCAAGTCCAGTGGCTGCTCCTGAGCCTCCCGGCCCCACCAGGGGCTCTGAGCCGTGGCATGGAGTGGCCAGGTGGCTCCCTGGCGTCCCCACCTCTGCTCTCAGGCTGTCTTCAGTCCCAGCACCCCCCAGCCTCTTGTTCGAGCCCACGTGCTGCACACACCCCTGCGACGTGGCGGGGCTAACGGAGGCCCCTCTCTGCACCCCTTTCCCCTGAGCCTCCTACCCACCAAGCCTGGCCTGGAGCGAGAATGACGGTGAACTTTCAGGCACCGGAAACAGGGTGTGCAGGGAGCCCCTTTCCGGGAGCGAGCATGAAATCTGGGGTGGGGTCAGGAGCTGGATGAGCCCCCCAGGTGTGGGAGGGAGCACAGTGCTCGGCTGAGGTGAGGGAGGGGGATGCGGGGGAAGGGTCAGGTGCAGAGGAAGTGTGGGAAGGGGCTTTAAGGCTAAAAAGGGCTGTGGAGGAGCGAATGGTCATCGCTGTGATGCACCCAGCTGCCCATCGTCTGGGTGGGCTCTGCCAGGCACCTGGTGGGGGAGGGCCACCTCGGGGTGGGGGGAGGCCCTGAACGGGAGGGCAGGCTGGGGGGACGGGCAGCGATTTGCTCGGAGCTTGCTCTCAGGTCTCATCCTGCCTCCACATGAGGAGACTCTGCACAGGGCACAGCTCCGTGAGCTGGTGAGGCGAGACGAGGCGTGTGCCGGGGGCCAGCACCGGTCCCTGGGCCCTGAGCAAAGACCACCCCACCCCCTGGGCTCGCACCTCCAAGGGAGCCCCCAGACCGGGCACTCACAGTAGACGTCCACGGTGCGGCTGATGTTGGTGCTGCCCAGGGCGTTGGTCACCTCGCAGGAGACGGGCTCTGAGAAGTAGGTGTAGTCCACGGCCGTGCGGTACACCTCGCCCGACGCCTCCTTGATGACTTGGCCGCGCTTGGCCCACCTGCAACGCAGGCCCCAGGGGCTGTGGTGGCCGAGGTGGCCGGGGTGTCCCTCCCGCCCGGGGGGGGGGGGGCAGTTCTCTGGGAGCCGGGTCTGGGGCAGGAGGGGCAGCCCCTGTGGGTCCTTCGGGGGAATTTCCCAGGCCGGGGAGTGGTGGGTGGTGCAGGCGGCGGGCTTCGGTCTGAAGGTCACCAGGCAGGTGGCCAGGGGCACTGGCAGAGTGGGTTATTCTAGAGGGTGGTGGTCTGGCTGTCCAGTCGGTCAGCCATCTGGCTGGCCAAGCGATGGATACTACACTGTCAGTCCTCAGACAACGTGGCCACCTGCTCTGAGCCTGTCAGGGACCCTGTCCTGCCACGTTGGAAAAGAAGGGGGTGAAGTCCAAGAGCTCAGAGGCCCAGGTGTCATGGTGTGTGCCCACACCTGCAGGCATGACCCTCCTCAACACCCACACACAGAAATGAGGCTCCTGGAAGTCAGGGTCCACGCAAGGTGAGAAGCTGAGGGAGAGGGGTGAGCAGGGCTCCTTACCGCCCCTCTCCTCGGCCAGGTCTCTCAGTTCTCCTGTCCCCAGAGTAGGTCCCCTCACAGTGCCCCTCTCTCCCTCCCACCCGCCCCATCCCCAGGGGTGACACTCGCTCTTTTTTCTGTGCAGTTTCCACCCTCCCTCCCTCCCTTGTCTCGCTCCATCTGTCCTGGTTTGTCAGGGAGGCAGGAGGCAGGCTGTGCTGACTTCTTCATCAGCCAGTCATCCGACCAATCACAGCCAGCCGAGAGGGGGAGGGAAGGGGGGACCGAAGAGCCTCAGGGCTGCCCGGGTCCCGGCCCTGGACCGCAGAGCACTGTGTGGTCCAGGGACTGAGCAGCCCCTGCCCCGGGGGGGGGGGGTGGAGGGGAGCAGTGCTGAGATCCCCAGAGGGTGTGAGTGCATGTACGCCCGTGGGGCTCTCCCTCTAGTCTCTAAGGAGGACAAAACTCACTTTAAAATCACAAAGCTGCCCTAGCTGGGTTTGGCTCAGTGGATAGAACGCCAGCCCACAGACTGAAGGGTCCCAGGGCAACCCACATGGTCTCTACCTGTACGCCTGCTTGTTCCTTTGTTAACTTTTTAGTTAAAAAAACAACCACTTTGTGCCAAAACCAGTTTGGCTCAGTGGGTAGAGCCTCAGCCTGCAGACTGAAAGGTCCCAGGTTCAATTCCAGTCAAGGGCGTGTACCTTGGTTGCAGGCACATCCCCAGTAGGGGGTGTGCAAGAGGCAGCTGGTCCATGATTCTCTCTCATTTCAATTCCAGTCAAGGGCCTGTACCTTGGTCGCAGGCTAGATCCCTGGGCCTGGTCAGGGTGTGTGTGAGAGACAACCAATCCACGTGTCTCTCCCATACCACTGTTTCTCTCTCTCTCTCTCTCTCTCCGCATGCCCTTCTCTTCTCTCTAAAAATCAATGGAAAAATATCCTCGGGTGGGGATGAACAACAACAGAAATAAATTAAAAAATCACAAAGCTTCCGGCTCGCTCCTCCTGCAGTTCAAGCCCAGTGTTGACGGGTCATTCGGCCCCAAAATTGTCAGCCTGTGCCCACGAACCTCTGTGCCCACAGCACCCCTGCCGGCCCTGCCTGCACCCCACTTCCTCTCTCTCCCGGCTCCATCCTGGGGCCACGGAGGCCCGTCCTCTGCGCTCTCCTTCCCAACTTCGGTCTCCTGCCCAGCCCGGCTCTCCAAGCCCGGAGACCGCCATCCCCCAGGCTGGCACCATGTGGTTCTTATTGTGAATTAATATCGGGTAATTATTAAGAACACGATTAATAAATAACAATTATCGTTTTAACAACAGAGCCATCCGTGCTCCCTGAGAGCTTAAGGAGCTTCCCAACAAACCATTATGAGTTATTCATGAGTCACTTCAGTTTCCAACTTTAATTTAATGACCCAACTTAATTGGCACTGCCCCTGCCGGAGGCGGGTGCATCGAGGGATAAATGGAACGCGTGACTGGGGATCTGTGTCCAACCCCTACTCCCCCCGCCAGGCTGGAGTGAGGGGGTTGGGGCGGGACCCAGGCCGCTGTGCGCTGGGGGGGAGGCTGAGGAAGCCGGATCCATCCTGAGGCGTCCTCAAGACCTTTGGCTAACCAGTCCACGGGGAAGGGGACAGGTAAGGACAAGTGCCCACCTGTGGGGAACCCCCAGGCCCACCTGACAGCTCCCCCCGACTGTGACCTACAGGGTTGGATGGAGATGGGGCAGATACCCTGAGCCCAGAGAACAGGGCAACCCACATGGTCTCTACCTGTACGCCTGCTTGTTTCTTTGTTAACTTTTTAGTTAAAAAACAACCACTTTGTGCTGAAACCAGTTTGGCTCAGTGGGTAGAGCCTCAGCCTGTGGACTGAAAGGTCCCAGGTTCAATTCCAGTCAAGGGAGTGTACCTTGGTTGCGGGCACATCCCCAGTAGGGGGTGTGCAAGAGGCAGCTGGTCGATGATTCTCTCTCATTGATGTTTCTAACTCTCTATCCCTCTCTCTTCCTGTCTGTAAAAAAGTCAATAAAATGTACAAAAAAGTATTTTAAAAAAACACACAAACCAACCACTTTGAAATTATGGGGAAGTTGCAAGAAGAGTGCAAGGAACCGTCTTTCCCCTTCAGCGGTCATTCTCTTGCTGTCTCTGCGTTATGACCCCGCCTCGTGTGTACCCTTACACCTGGTCACCATTGTTGTCATCACCGGGGTTCTGCTCTTTCCAGAGGGGGGACCAGGCCTCAGGAGTTTGCTCCAGACTGGCCCCTGGACCTCCTGGGCTGCATGACTCCAGGGATCCCCTAGCCCAGTGCACAGCTAAGCCAGACAGGGCAGATGGATTTGCATCTGACTTAAAAATATCCTGGAGCCCTGGCCTGTGTTGCTCAGTGGTTAGAGCGCCAGCCCGAGCACCAAAGGGGTTGTTGTGGGTTTGATTCCCAGTCAAGGGCTTGCACCTGGGTTGCAGCTTCGATCCCAGCCCTGGTCAGGGTGCATGTGGGAGGCAACCAATCCATGTGTCTCTCTCATCCAATCAATGATTCTCTCTCATCATTGATGTTTCTCCCTATCCCTTACTCTCTCAAGTCAATAAAAATATATTTTAAAAAATAATAAAAATTGATGGGAAAAAATATCCTCAGGTAAGGATTAAAAAAAAAATAATTCTCAAAGGTAGACTGTCTCCTGGTTTCTGGCCCCCACATTTCATTATCTGCCCTGCAGGGGGCGATGCTTCGAGTCCAGCCTGATCCTCTGGCTGCCTCTCTGGCCCATTACCTCGGATCCTGCCTCTGTCTGGGGCGGCACTGCCCCTCTGCCGTCCCTGTCCTCCCCCTACACCGGCCAGCATTTCCTCCTCGGAGACCATCAGCCTCTCAGGCGCTGGCAGAGGCTGCAGCTTAATGACCTATTTCCGTGGCAGAGAGTGTCTCCGTCAGGTCTGGGCTGGTGGGCAGGGACGGGGTGGAGTCAGGGCCACGGTGAGATCCAGGAGGAGGGGAGGCAAGTCTGCCCTTGAGCAACTCTGAGGTCACTCACGGTCTCGTGGATGCCTCACGTGGGGATGGTGCGCAGGCAGGATGGGCCCAGAGAGGAGCAGCTCTGAGCAGTTACCCCATCCGTCAGCCCGCGTTCCCGAGAACAGCACACGCCACATGCTGTGCTGCACGCTGAGTGCCATATGCGACTCAAATTGCAGTGCTTGCCTCCGAGAAGCTCCGTCAGCGGGGACAGACGAGCGTGGAAGCAGTGGTGCTGTGAGCCACGGATGCTCTGGGCCACGGGCTTGAGCGGTCCCAGGTGCCCGCGGGACAGGGAGCTGTCCCAGAGCCCCCACCCTGCCCAGGTGAGCAGTTTGGTGACGCAAGACCAGCATCCAGATGCTGACCTCACTGGATCCCCTGGATTTTTTTTTTTAAAAAATATATATTTTTATTGATTTCTACAGAGAGGAAGGGAGAGGGACAGAGAGTTAGAAACATCGACGAGAAAGAATCATTGATCAGCTGCCTCCTGCACACCCCCTACTGGGGATGTGCCCACAACCAAGGTACATGCCCTTCAGCCTGCAGGCCGACGCTCTATCCACTGAGCCAAACCGGTTTCGGTCCCTGGATGGTTTTAACATATTTTTTCCTGAGCCTCTCTCCCTCTTTTCAGAAAGAAGGGATCACAGAGCTGTCCACACCGGAGGGTGACACCTACCGTCTCCAGCGGAGTGGGAGCGCCCCTGTGCGTGAGGGAGAGGGACTCCACCGGCCAGGGTGTGTGTGGGGGAGAGGTAGGCGGGAAGGGGTCCCCACCTGGTTGGGGTGGGTAGAGTTGTGGGGCACAGAGAAGGGGGGGGGCACCCCCAGTGAACTAGCAGGGTGCTGGGTACCCAGGCCCACAGCGACAGCCAGGTAATGGACGGGGGCGGTGGCCCTCACCTGTACTGCGTGACGGCCGGGTTGGCCTTGGCGGAGCAGTGGAAGGTGACCACGTTGTCCTCCAGCACCGGCTGTGGCTCCACCGACAGGTTGACCAGCGGGGGGTCTGCAGGAAGAGAGTCCCTTGTAGGCCGGGGAGCTGTGTCCACGGTTTTGGGGAAGAATGAGCCTGGAAGACCCACTAGTGACATGGAGGGTATAGGCCAGAGTTCCCGCCCCCACGATCCTGGGGACCCTCAGAGCAGCCACCACTGCAGGGGTCCCCAGAAAGCTGGGGGCTTCAGCGGGGCTGCCCCACTCCCTGGAGGTGCCTGCTTCAGGCAGTCCTGGGCGGGGGGTGGGGGAACAGTTCCGGGAGGCCCACCCCACCTTTGTCAAATGATGGGTCTCGGGGAGCAGGGGGACAGAGCACATAGCTATGGGGACCCTTCTCGCTGCTTGGGCCCCTCTTCCATCACCCACCTGCCATGCTCAGCTCACCCAGTCTCCCCACCTTTTTGCCATACCCTCCACACCTGCCTTTCCTGCAGGACCTCAGAGAATGGACCCCAGGAAGCACGCCAATGAGAAGACAGATTTCTCCATGCGCAGATGCGCCCCCCTTCCTGGCTGCTGGGCCAGCTAATGCCCACACCCCCACCTTGGTCGCACCTCCACCCTGGCCGCAGCCCCCGTGCTCCCCCTCCGGGCCCCTCCTCTCGTTGTGCAGGGTATGAACTTGCAAGGCATCTAGCAGGCTCCAGGGGCAGACATAGTGTATGCCACATCCAACCATTACACATGATTTCGATCCCATGCATGATGTCGGCTCCGTCACTGGCAGAGGGCAGCTTTGATGGAGCTGGTGGAACCGAGATCACATGGAACAGATGTTGCAGCTGAGCGTGTTAGTGCTTCTATCAGCAACGTGTGTGTGCGCGTGCGTGTGTGCGTGTGTGTGTGTGTGTGTGTGTGTGTGTGTGTGTGTGTGCATGCTCAGGGGAAGTATTCCAAGGAGGAGGGGGAAGGAGAAGAGCGAAATTCCATGACTTGGTGGTTTTAGAGCACATCCATTTGCAACTTGGCAGCTGGATGCAGAGTCCAGATGCAGCGAGACGTTGGAGTGTTAAGCGTTCTCTCCCATTACCCAATCTGGGAGCTTTGTCTTCCGTTGGGTAACAAGGAAAGACCGAGGGAAACAAACAACACATGTGCTTCTGCTGAGTGTGGCTGCTTCCCGGTTGCCTGAGAACAGGAGCAGGCTGGCAGCCGCAGCTCCTCCGGCCCGTGGCGTCCACCGCCCACACCTGGGTGCTTACCGAGCGAGCAAATGGAGCGATGGAGGGAAAGGGAGGGGGAGACTAGGGGTGGAGAGAGCCTGATCTTTGCTTGGCACACACATGCAGACACTTTCGGGAGGGGACACGTGGATGGAATCCCCTGTCAGAGATGTGGGGGGCCCTGGGCTGTGGTGGTGGTGGAGGCATCAAGGGGAGAGATGGCTGCACTATGTGCATGGTAACAACAGCAGACAGGTGCAAAGTGCAAAGGGGACACCAGCGCAGGCCTGCAGAGTGAGGCTGCCTATATCTGAAACCGCTGTGGCCTTGGGCATGTTCATCAGACTTTGGAGCCTCAGTTTCCCCAGATGGGGCCATCGTCATACCTGCTCTGTACCAAATGGCTGTGCAGAGTGAATGAGATAACACATGCCACATACAGGCAGTCTTTTCTCCCTTCTCTGTCCTTGACTGGCTACTCCACCAGACCCTCTGAGAGGGGCTGGCGCTAGTCACCAGGTGTGGGACCCCCGAGGGACTGCGTGGGGCCGCCTGGGAGGCCAGTAGGGCCAGGGATGACTGACATGGACAGACGTGGAAGTTCTGCCTGAGGCAGGTGTAGAAATGCGGCTTAAACAGGTCACTTGCCAAGGACCCCTGTCTGAGATGTTTTCGCTTCTGGTGACAATAAGGACAAGTGGGCCCTTTGGGTGTGCACATATTCAAACTGCCAGGCCAGGAGCTGTCTGACCCACGTGCTGCCCGAGGATGTCCCACAGGGAGGCAGCCTGAGGAGCTGGTTGTGCAGGCCGGTCCCTTCCCAAACCCACGCCCTAGTTGGGGTGTGGGAGTCCCTCCTGCTCAGGCCGGGGTGTGGGGGTCCCTCCATGCCCAGGTCAGGGCTCCTCTGGGTCCAGGCCGGGTCAGTACTCACGCTGGATGTCGATGGTGACCGAGGTCTCCTTGCCCGCGGGGATGGCTTTGTTGGTGGCTCGGCACACGATGCTCTGCCCGTTCTCCACGTCCCCGGGGGAGATGAACAGGGTGCTCACGATGCTCTCGCGCTTGCCGTCACGGAGCAGGGTCTGGGGGGAGGGAGAGAGGGAAAGCCCAGGTCACCTGGTTGGCAGGGCCTGGTAGCTTCAGGAAGAGGACGCCCTGTGCTTGAAAGCGGGCAGCTCAGGACCCCAGGGCGCAGAACCGGGATCCCCTGGGCTCCTGGCCTGGCTGAGTGCTGGGCTGCAGAAGAGAAAGGAGCCAGAAAGCTCTCCACCACGGGAAAATTAGCCTGGACTGGCAGACCCTGGAGGAGAAAGGAAGCCGGGCTAGGCTGGACAGGAAGCAGGCGGCAGGCCCTGTACAGTAATGCCCATCGCTCTGCCTTTTGTGTTTGGGGAGCGGGCTCCAGCTCTGCAGGAAGCTCTGAGGCCTGTGTGACAGGCACAGCTGCTGTCCCGCCACAGGGACATGGTCTATCAAAGGGGGTGTAGCTTGGGGCGTGGGGGTAAGGTAAGCTGACCAGATGTTGGGACAGTCCCGATTTTGAACAATTTGTCCTGCGTCCCTCGGCGTTTTAAAAATGTCCCAATTTTTGGAAAGATTCTTTTAAATCTTTTGGACTTTTTAAAAGTGCTGAGGGATGAGGGACAAATTGTTAAAAATTGGGACTGTCCTGCCAAAAGTGGGACATCTGGTCACCTTATCTTACATGGCTTGAGGGCTGGGCTGGATGTTCTCCACCCCTGCCCTAAAGCCTTCAGAGGGAGCGTGGGTCCATCAGCACACCAAGTGCAGACAATGACTGTCAGCTGTTTTGAGCACCAGGTGTAGGCCCTTGTTCGGGTGGCTCTTAGGAAACCAATCCGAGTCCTGAGGCTTCTGGTCTCCAGTCTTCCGTTCCTTCGTTTCCATGGGACCACGAGGTCATTCAGCAGCTGGGTCCCCCTCGCCCCTCCCCTGCACAGTGTGGAGCCCCGTGAGGGGAGCCCACCGCTGACCCTCGAGGTGGTGCGTGCTGGGACACCATGTGGGCGGGAGGGCCACTCCCGGGTGGGACTGGCCAGTGCTAGGACACTGCTGATTCTGGGCAGGCGCTAAGCCCCTCCAGAAAAGGGGTGGCGGGTGCAGCCTTATGTCACCGGGGGATAGAATAAGGGACTTCATTTCCTCAATCCTCCTTTAAACGAAGAAGATGAAGAAGAAGAAGAAGAAGAAGAAGAAGAAGAAGAAGAACAACAACAACAACAACAACAACAACAACAACAACAACAACAACGGCTTGATTTCTCATCTCCCCAGACTCTGGAAGGATGGGAAACTGAGTTCAAAGTGAGTCGGGAACGTGCTGGGCGGGGCTGAGATTTGCCCTTGAGAACGAGCCACGACCTTCTCTCCACATCTCCCCGAGCGTCGGAAGGAGGTGAGTGCGATCTCCACATGAAGATGGGAACAGTTAGGAGCCCTGTGTAGCCTCCAAGGTCACAGAGCCAAGGTCACAGAGACTGCTCTCTGGGTCTGCAGGCCAGTGTCGTCCTGTTTTAGCCGGGGCACAGCCTGTGGCCTCCAGCCCCGGGCCATGACCTGAGCCTCTGTCTAGGTCAGCTCATCCCCGTGTAGACAAGGCCGGGCTCTGAGATGCCAGAGAGACCCCCGGGGCCGGGCAGACATCCGCACTGGCTCCCAGAGGCCGGAAAACTGCCTGGGCCTCGCGGGTGCAGGTGGCGTGAGGCCTTTCCTGGGCCATCATGGGGTGGTGGCCTTAGCCCTGGGCAGCAGAGTCCCTGGAGAGGGGCTGGGGGAGAGGGATGTGGGAAGTCCTAGCTAGCCATGGGGGGCAGTGTGGGCAGCGGGTGGGGAGCAGGCTCCAGGCCAGAATCTGGATGAGGACCGACAGAGGCACCTGCACGGAGAAGGCACAGGGGTTGACCCCCAGCCCGAGCCCAGAAGAGGGCGCTGCCCCGCACCACAGCAGCGGGCTGGCTCAGGCCGGGCAGCAGACTGCTGGCGTCTATAAATAGCGAAGCGATAATAAGGACGATTTTCTGGGTGGAAAGAAGACCTGGGGTGGAGCGAGTCTGTGTACGTGTCTGTGTGCATGTATGTATGTGTGCATGCATATATGTGTGTGTGTGTGTGTAGGGGGAGTGAAGTGGGGAGGGTGTCCATACTATGCCCTCCCCCTTTCTGTGCTCCCCCATTGTGCTAACAAGGGGCATGGGCATTCGCTGGACTCGGCTGGCCCCTCCGCGGACCTGCTCTTTGGGGTGAGGGGCAGGGCGTGCCCGCGCTCCTAAGGAGACCCCGGGACGGCCTCCCGCCGCCTCCCCACCCGGGGTGCTCCTCTGCCTCCGAACGATGATTAATGACATATTGACTGTGTCCGGGCGTGTGCTTTTCTGGGAAATAAAAATTCTGGTTCAAGCTGTTTGTTCCACCTAATTAGAGAACAGGGAGATGAGTTCATTAAGCCAGGGAGAGAGGGGAAGACGGGCTGGCGGCTCCCACAGGAGGCTCACCCCCGCTCCCAGCTCCCGGGGACCCCAGGCTCTAGGCCCAGGGAAGGGCCAGGTCTGCAGGCATATCCTGGGGGAGGAGGCCGAGAGAGGCCAGGGAGGCCTGGGAGCCCTCAGGGTGGAAAGCTGGCTTGGGGAGGGGCGGGGAGGTGGGTGGGTGGGGGGCATTGGGTGGCCTGCAGGCTCCAGCCCAGCCTCCCTCTCTCTCTCACCCTCCTTTGTCTCCTTCCCTCATTCCTTCCCAATCTCCTCCCTTCTCAGCTTTCTTTCTTTCTTTTTCCTTCCTTCTCCACTGACAGATCTCCCAGGTACTCATATGCAAATGAACCTTTGGGCTCTGAGGCCTAGAAGGTCCCAGCCAGGCCTAGAACGGTCCATCATTGGCTGATTCTTGTCACAGCCCACGTGGTCTTCCATCCCAGCTCCTTCTCTTCCTTGAACTTGGCTCTGGGAACACGCTGGGGGCCCTAGCCCCCCACCTCCTAGTTCAGAAACCTTCGTTCCTATGCAAATCGGCTCATCCCGTGAATTATTAACGGAGCGAGTCTTCTGCGTCTGGGCCACTACTGCCAAGGCCCGGGGCAGCCCTCTCTCCCTCTGGCTGGGTGGCACACCTGTGCTGCTGGGTCCCTGCCCGGGCGGCCCCTGGTGCCCCTGATGCACAAGGACCAGGGCAGCAGCTGCGTGTGCAGGTTGTGCTGGGGCGTGCGTGCACCTGACCCGTGCACGGGGGGTGAGGGCACAGAGCAGTAGCCTTCGTGGGTGGGTTTCCAGCTCTCTCTGTGTCCAAGGACCTTCGGGCTGTCCCAGTGGCTCTGTGAGGTCTGGGGCTCATCTCCAAACCCTGCCTTCCCCGGGCACAGCTTCCTGTCTGTGCCCCATGCCCCATGCCCACCCCTGAGGGCAGGCCCTTGGCATTTGGTTGGCAGTGGTCCTGGGGGCCGGGCTAGTCAGGGGCAGAATGCGCTCTGGGAGTGGGTGTCCGTGTCCAGTGCAGGCAGCAGCCAACGTCTCCCCCCCTCACCCCCCCCCCCCCCCCCGAGCCTTCGCTGGGCAGTGAGGAGGCAGGCTGAGCCCGAGAGAGGGGCAGCCAGGAGATGCCTGTGGTGGGGTGGGGATGAAGGGGACCCCATGTGAGGATGATGGAGGTTGTCAGGGGATGCAGTGGCGGGGGGCCCTCAATACCTGTGCTTAAAAGAGGTCTTGAGTGAGACCCAATGCCTGGCCACTAGGCCTCCTCTCCTGCTTCTTCACTCACCTCCCTCACCTGTGTCTTAAAAAAAAAAAAAAAAGCCAAAAACATCTGATTCCCTTCTCTACAGCTGCCTGGGGAATCCGGCTGTCTCGCGGCCTGAATGGGAATGGACGGGAAGGTGGAGGCCTGCACGGTGCATTCGCCCAGACCCTGTCTTCTCAGACACCGCCCTCTGTGCCCTGGGGCGGGGAGTGGTGCCCGTCACAAAGATGCCAGGAAGAGTGGAGGCCGCTGGGTAGAGGCTCTAGGCCCTGATAGGCAGGTGGATGAAGGATGCTGGGGTGACAGGTGGGGAGAGAGTACCCATCGGAGAGGCTGCTGGAGGGAGCTGGGCCCAGTGTGGGGCTTGTTATTCCCCAAGTGCTCTTAGCCTGGGCCCAGTGAGACCCAGGGTCCCGCCAGCAGCCTGAGGCCGAGGCCGGAGGAAGCAGGGGTGGGGCCAGAGGGGGAGGGGCTTTGAGGCAGGTACATACACGCCGTGCTATGACCCAGCACCTCTCCGGGGTCCAGGCCTCGTCCCCGCACCGGGCAGCAGCTTGTGAAGTAGCAGGTGGAGCAGGGCCCTGGCTCCTTGGGGAGATTTCTCTCTGGACTCAGCCTGTAGTGTCCCCTCTCTTCCTCAGCCTCTCCTGCCCGCCCCCCTGGTTTGTATATGATGCTGGTGCCAGGCCCAAGGAAGATGGCCCGAGCCTAGGTGTCCAGGAAGGAGACTCAGGGAGAGGCTTTGCGATCACTCCGATGTTGCAGCAGCCAGAGGCCCACTGGGGGCCCAGGCGCTCACCTCAGGCCAGGCCAGGCGGCTTGGAGGCAGAGGGAGTATGCCGGAAGCTGCCCATTGTCTTCATAGCAGAGAGGTGTGGACCAGAAACTCGGAAGGCTGATGGCCCTTGAGCTCGGGCAAAGGTCAGGGCTGTTCACTCACATGGTTTAGTCCAGACAATGGTATCGGAAGCAATGCCCCTACCAGACAGTCCTGTAAATCCTTCCTGATAAGTCGGTCTGCCTGTTGCTGGAAATTCCCTGCCTAAGGGCTCTAGGCAGATCCCAAAATGAATAAAAGGATGGCAAGGCTGGAGCCCAAGTGGTGGAGTCCTTCCTCTTGAGCTGGGATCCCGCCTGGTCCCCCTGATATTTCCAAATGATTGTTTCTTATCTCAGCTCTTTCATTTGCATGCGGCCCCCTCTTCCAGAGCCTGAACCCTGAACCACACGAGACATGGGAATTCACAGGGGTACACGAGGCCCACCAGCTGGGGGGCGGGGTGCGACTCCTCCAAGAGATAGAACGCTATAGAGAGCCATAGAATGAGAGAAAGCCATGCAGAGAGCGATAGAGACAGAGGGAAAACAAGAGCGACAGACAATGAGAGAGAAAGAGAGAGAGGAGAGAGAGAGCAAGTTGCAGATGTGGGGTGAGCTGCCCCCTCCCCAGGGAGCACCCACCCCCTGCCCTGCTCCCACCAATGCGGTCCCCAGGCCTCACCTTGGAGTAGGTGGCCCCGTTGATGACCTCTCCCTTCCGCAGCCAGACGATGGTCGCGGCGGGCTTGGCATTGTCTGCGTGGCAGGTGAGGTTGAGGGGGTCCCCTGCCCGCAGGCTGATCACGGGCCCCCCCAGGATGACGGGGTCGTCGGGTGGCACTGTGGGCAGAGAGGAGGAGGGAGGTCAGGCTGAGGGCAGCCTGCCCCTCCAGCTGGGCAGCCATGGAGCTGGCGGGCTTCGTGGAGCTGATGACAAACAGTAATTACCATTCTTTAATAACCGTTAATCCCCGAGCATTGTCACAGTGATAACAGCCGTAATCCCGCACACGCACACGGCGTGTTTATTGGCAGAGGCTGTTCCCAGCAGTGCCTCATACTCTGCTTGCGAGGGGCCTGTGAGGGGACAGGACAGGCCCTGAACCTGGCCACAGAGCGAGGAGCAGAGCTCCGATGCCCAGAAATATCTGTAGTCTCTTCCTATTCCACAACTTCTCCTCCTCCTCCTCCTGGTCCTTTCCTCCTCCTCCTCCTCCTCCTCCTCCTCCTCCTCCTCCTCCTCCTCCTCCTCCTCCTCCTCCTCCTCCTTCTCCTTCCTCTCCTCCTCCTTCTCCTTCCTCTCCTCCTCCTCTTCCTCCTCCTGTTCCTTCCCTCCTCCTCCTCCTCCTCCTCCTCCTCCTCCTCCTCCTCCTCCTCCTCTTCCTCCTGTTCCTTTCCTTCTCCTCCTCCTGTTCCTTCCCTCCTCCTCCTCCTTCTCCTACTCCATCTCTCAAAGACAGCACAGTGGAACCCTCGGAGGTGCGGCTTCTCCCAGGACAATCCGCCGAGAACAGGTCTCTCTAGAGACGCCCCGGGCACCCTGCTCCTCCTTGCTGGAGGGGCTGGGACCTCAGTCCTGGAGGCTGGGAGACGCTGACTGCAGTCTGCCAGGGAGTGGTCCAAGGGTTGCTGGGGGACAAGCCAGGGCCCTAGAACAAAGACCCAGTGACCGAGAAAGTTCATCGTCCCCTTCTCTCCCACCCAGGCCCTGTGAAAGCCTTCGCACCCGGGGCTGGGGCAGGCGGTCTCAGAGCTCCAGGCACCCCCGACTTCCCCTACAGGTGCTGCTTTCCCCTCTGCCCTCCCCCAGGGGGCGCCCTGCAACCTGCCTGGCTTCCTTCTCCTTCCCTGGAGCTCCTGCATCTGGGCTCCCCTAGGGCTCAGAGCCCCTCAGGGAACAGCTGGAGGCTCCGGGTCCCCTTCAGCCAACTCTCTGTCCTTCCTTCCTGCCTCCGGCCTGGCTCGGGACCCAGCCCAGTGAGCACCAACCTCTGCATGCCCTCCCGCCCTCCCAGTTTCTATTCCTGACAAAGAACAAACCCTCAGGGCACCCAGAAGTCCTCCTCAGCCTTAGGACTCCGCCTGGATCCTGGCCCGGGGAGCGGTCGGCCTCATCTAACCCTGCCCAGCCTCTGGGGGGCCTGGGCACAGGCAGATGGTGGGTGTGGGCTGGACAATCAAGGCACCCTGCACCCCCTCATTACTGCCGGAGGATGGGGGTGTGGCCTGGGAGCCCAGGGAGGCTAATGAGGGCTTGGCACCATGGGGGTGGGTGTTCTGCTGGCCTCAGAGGGAGCTTCATCTCTGAGGGCAGGGCCTTCCAGCTGGGAGGGCTGGGCTGGGCTCCTGCGCCCTCCCCTGGCAGGGGCAGCTTCCTCCCCAGAAGGGGTCCGGGATGCAGAGGCTCCAGCCGAGCTTGCCCAGGGCCAGGAAGACGGGAAAGCGAGGCCCGGAGGGAGGCAGCCCCTTCTTCCGGTTTTATTTCCTCAGATCTGAAATGGGAGAGGTCACCTGGCCGGCGGGGCTCAGTGGCTGAGCGTCGACCTATGAACCAGGAGGTCACGGTTCGATTCCAAGTCCTGGGTTTTGGGCTCGATTCTCAGTGTGGGGCGTGCAGGAGGCAGCCAGTCAACGGTTCCCTCTCATCATTGACTGTTTCTGTCTCTCTCTCTCTCTCCCTTCCTCTCGGTTTAAATAAACAAATAAACAAATAAACAAATAAACAAATAAACAAATAAACAAATAAACAAATACATGTGAGAGGTGAACAGGGGGTCTGGAACATTCTCCCCAACACGAACATCCGTGGGCCTGGCAGTGGTTGAAGCCAGGCCACGGCTTACAATCTTCTGGGAAAGGTTTTGAAAACCAAGGCCACACACCCTGACCCGCTGGACCTATTCCTGGAGCTGGACCCTCAGCAGGAGGGCTTTCCAGCTCCCGGAGGAGGGTCCCGTGTGGCCAAGTGTAAGGACCGACTGTCTCTGGGCCTTCGTTGCTGCTCGTCATGCCTCTGGCCACAGCGTGGGGACTGAGCAGGCCTTCCCAAAACCCCAAGACCGTGCTGGGAATACCGGATTAAGGAGGGAGGGGAGCGGAGAGGGGCGTGGGCTGCAGGGTGGATGCACACGCGCCCACACCGCCACCCTCAGAATGGGTGCTGATTACATCTTCCCAAATAAGCGGTTATCACGCCGGGTATTCATGCAGCTATGCATTATTGATTGGCCTTCGCCTGGCTGCACACCAGATGGGGTGTCGGGGAGGGGGGGGATGGTGGTGGTGGTGGTGCAGATGGGGCCGGGGTGTGTGGGGCGGATGGGGGAGAAGGGAGGAAATTGGGGGGCCCACAGGCTGAATAGAAATCAATGGTTTCTGGCAGCTGCAGCTCCCCAGGTACGGAAGGGGGACTCATTCTCTCTTTCTCGGAGGGACCCGGAGCTGAAGTGTTTGGGGGGAGAGGGGGGGAGAGTAGTGGTGGTGATGGTGGGGGAGCCTGGAGCAGCTTGAGCCTGGACATGCATTATTCATGAAGACCTCACAGGATTGGTTATTATCCCCGAACCACTACAGAGTTTGGTCTCCTAATTTTTAATCACAGGGAAGGTGGGAACGTTCGCCTTTTGTGATTAATCCGGAGATAAAAATAGTTGGCTGCTTTGGTGGCGTGCTCCTTGTCAGTCAGGACAGAATGCATTCCCTGTGGAGTGACGGAGGCCTGGGGGCGACCAGAGCCGGTGTGTGGGGGTGGGGGTAGGGATGATGGGGGGCTGGCCCCCAGAGCTGGAGCAGCCAGCGGAGGCCCGGCTCTGCGCTGTCCAGCACGGCCTTTTCTGTGTCCTCCTGTCTCGCTGGCTTTGTCTTGTCCATGAGGACACAGCTTTCATTCACATCCTCCGAGAGGCCCACGCCCTCGCCCCTCCTCTGCTCTCCATCACACCACTCGCCTGATTTCCCCATGGATGGGGGGGGGTCATGTTGTCCGTCTCCTTGTGGTAGAAAGAAAGCTCCCTAATGACAAAGGGAGACCCTGATGTCTTGGTCGCCGAGGCATCGCCGTGTCTAGATCAGAGCAGGAGTGGCTAGGGCTGATCCTGACCAGGTTCTGCTTTCCCTCCCAGCACGTAGGATGGTGTCTGCCCGCAGTGAGCATCCTCCCTGAACGGCCCAGTCGGAAACCAAGCTTCCCGAGTTCCCTGTGCACTGCGCTGGACCTTCTACCTGGCACTCAGCCCAGGCCGAGGGCATCCGGCTGTGGGCTCGTGTCAGGTTCCCTGCGTCCGGAGCAGAGGCTCCGTCCTCTTTGTATTTTCCCATCTCCTAGCCCAGTGGTTGGCAAACTGCGGCTCGAGAGCCACATGCGGCTCTTTGGCCCCTTGAATGTGGCTCTTCCACAAAATACCACGTGCGAGCACGCGCGTACAATGCGATTGAAACTGAGCGTGGCCCATGCGCAGAAGTCGGTTTTCGGCTCTCAAAAGAAATGTCAGTCATTGTACTGTTGATGTTTGGCTCTGTTGACTAATGTGTTTGCTGACCACTGGGCTAGCATATTGTCCTGGATGTATAACAACAACAACAACAATAGGAATAGGAATAAGAGCTCACAGTGATCCAGGGCCAACAAGACAGAATTCTAAAAATCACCAACTCACCATGTAAGGAAGTGACCCCATGTAAGAAAGACAGTGCAATGATGGTGAATATTTTGAAGATGAGGAAACCGAGGCACCACGGGGTGAAGTTACTTGCCCCAATGAGCAGCTGCCTAGCTGGGAAATAGCATGTTTCTGCCTTGGTTCCCGGCCCAGCCTCAGCCTGGCCAGCACCGGCCTCGCAGCCCTGAGGGAGCCCCCCCACCTCCCCCTCAGTGACGAGGAGATGTCGGAGGCAGGAGGGCAGGGCCCTTCCTGGGCGGAGGGTCCGGGGCAGGGCGGTGAGGGTGAGGGCAGCTGCTGTCAGGGCCAAAGTCAAACCAAGCCGCTTGTTTCCCGCTTGAATTAAGCAGGACATTCTGTTTATTCCAGATTAAAACAGGGTCAGAGCCATCTTATCAGCGAGGAGCTGTCTGTGGGGAGAAGGACATTTCATTTAAAAAATATATATATTTTATTGATTTCAGAGAGGAAGGGGGGGGGGAGAGAGAGAGAGAGATAGAAACATCAATGATGAGAGAGAATCACTGATTGGTTGCCTCCTGCATGCCCCCTACTGGGGATTGGGCACAACCCAGGCACGTGCCCTTGGCCAGAATCAAACCTGGGACCCTTCAGTTCGGAGGCCTATGCTCTATCCATTGAGCCAAACCAGCTAGGACAGGACGTTTCATTAATGCTGAGCAGACGAGTCAATCACAGGATGTAGGCAAAGCCGGGGGTGGGGTGGGAGGATGGGGAGAGCAATGGCAGGGAGGGCCCCAGTCTGGGGCTCCACCCACACGGCCGTGTGTGTGTGTGTGTGTGTGTGTGTGTGTGTGTGTGGCGCCCGTGTGTGCATGTGTGTGCACCTGTGTGTGTCTAGAGGAGTCCTGGCTCTGTTGACTAATGTGTTTGCCGACCACTGGGCTAGCATATTGTCCTGGATGTATAATAACAACAACAATAGGAATAGGAATAAGAGCTGGTGGGTGGGGTGTGGAGAGCATGCGTGGAGGCACAGGGAGCCCCCCCCCCCCCCCTTGGTGGGAAGGGGGAACCTGTGAGAGCAACCGGGAAAGGAACCGAGTGGCTGGTGGAGGAGGTGGGTCTGTCGAGTGTTGGGGTGGGGGGGAGGGAGTTGTCAAGCCCAGGCTGTGGGTGGCCCCCTGGGCCACCTGGGCGGTGGTTGTGCAAACGGCCACA